GTAAATACTAAGGATATTTTCATAGCATCCGTTACCAAAGCCATTAGTTTTCATCGTAAGTGTGCTACAGCGTAACAGCCTCTTGAGGCCTACTTTCAAACAATTAAGTATGTGGGTGCACGCGGAGAAATCAAACAATATACAATGCTTACATAATTATAGCTATTGTTGAATTATATGCACATCTGTGAAAGTCTAACAATGCATGTGTTACTTATTGGGCTTTTATATTGACCTAGAAGTTCATAGTAAAAAAATAATATTTAACGTTTCACGTATAATAAAATTTTCTTTTTTGATGTATCCGTTATATTGTTTTTATTGTTACGGGTGAATATTTATACAGAATATAAGATACTTATATGGCGAATATATTCATCGTTAGAAGGAATCAAACCTACAATTTCCGGCTGCACACAGACCACAACGCCAAGACCATCGTCAATTTGTCTATTTCACACGTATAACTAGATTTGATACTATTATAAAATATATACGTTCAGATTATAAAAAATAATACTATAATAACTATAATTGCGATTGCATTAATCTTAAGATTGTTAGTTTGCTGTTTCGCAAATATTTCTCCATATTTTCTTAATAAGTATCAGCAATCATTTCACGAAATATGAAATATTTGTAAATATCATTGAGCTATGTCAGCGCTATTGTAAAGAAAACGTGATTATGTTTAAGTGTCCATGAATGAATGATTTTGTTCTCATTTTTAACGGTTTTATTCAGCGTAATGGTGACTGTATATTGCAAATCTATTAAGTGAAACTTTTGGTAAGCTTGACAAGTTAAAAAATTTCAAAACTTTCTGTATTACACCTCCGTTGATAAAATATGATGATATACAAACTTTGATTATGTAATAGTACCCATTCACTTACTACAACACAATGTTTTAAGATTTGTTGATATAAAGTAAGCTTTTTGTTTCAGTTGTGGATTTTTAGCAAAAAAAACTATAATTTGTGTTGTGCGTTGTATATTTTTATAATTTGTTTAAATATCTATATAACAAACTGTTTTTTTAAATATGTTTCCAAAATGTTTTTTTTTAAATAACGCTTGACAGAGGACAATATAAAAAAAAAGATTCAGAACTGTTTTGTTTTTGTCTTTTACATAAACATAGATATGCAGTTGAGTATATTAGTAGATGTATATTGGAAATATTTTATTCCAAGAACATAAGAGAAGGAAGAAAAAAAAGCAGATGTGATTTACTGCATCTCAAAGGCGTTACTTAGCTTCAAAGGCATTATGACATAGTGCAAGTGTTAAGGCTGCTATCATTAGGATCCCACGCAAACAGAAATTATCAACAAAAAAACATTAAATATAAAATGATTTTTATCCTCAGGACATATACCAGTTTTAGCACGACTTCTTCTTATGGTCAAGTGTGGCCTGTGGGTGGTAGCGTTAAGATGTTTACAATCACATATTATTCTACAGTAAATTTTTAAATATCACATAATAGAAATTTATTTTTAAACTAAAGGTTGATCTTATATTACACAAAAGAACTTTAGTTCTATCGACTTGATATAGACTATTTTTGCCATTTAGCTTCTGATGTTTCTTGAGATAAATATTAAAGATAACGTTATATACATTGTGCATTGTACACGATGTTGTCATTTAATGCTGTAATAGGAAGTGGTGGATTGTGTATTACGTTAGATGTTAAGTGTAATGTTATAAAAATATATTTTAAAACATCCTTACGTTAGGTCTAATTTTATTTGGGTTTAAGCAGTGTATTTCAGCTAAACAAATTAGAACCAAAGCATTACTAATATTTTGTCCATTTATTATTATTATTTTATTTTCTTCTATTTTCAACCGACTTCCTCAAAAAGAAGGAGGTTCTCAAATTGGCTGTATGTTTTCATTCTTACATTTTCTTCTAAAGACATTTTGAAACAAGATAAAACTAATCGAAGTACCCTAAGCCTGATCTTTGACGTTTACAAGAAAGACATTAGACAGAATCAATTTATAAATATCCTACAAGGGTTCAACGCCCCGACTACACTTTAAGCAAAAAGTCAATTTCATAAAGTTACATCGAACCTTACGATCTAATGATGCGCTCAACAACCTCACTGAACCTAATGTTCTTTTAATGTTATTCATAACCCAGTCATGTTCCATCCGATGCACAGAGAAAGTGCATTCTTTAATGATGTACTGCTGGTATATTATATGTTATGTGTAAAGACTGCATGATTGACAGAGTAAATAGTGCTCAGTCATTGGAAAGAAAATTGATTACAAGTTTTCCCTGCGATATTTGCTATTATGTGTCCAAAGACGCAATAAACACTGGTTAACCTTTATGCTAAAACTTTTCTTCAACCAATATCAATAAAATCTAACCAACGAATAAAACAAAAATTCATTTATATATAATTTACTATAATATATTATTAGAAAATTATACATTTCGGTATTATAGAATCAAAACAGTAAACAATGAAATTCAACTTTACTAGACGTTTCATATTCTACCGCTTTGCTTTATTTAACTACAACATACATTCATATTAATAAGTCATTATTTGAATCTACATACATACATTCATTCTTCGTCATCACGCACGTAATATTGTTGGTAAATATTAAAGAAATAGAACTCGTGTGTAAAGAATTTGTTAGCTTGCCAATTTAAAAGTTGGCACACAGTTGGCATTTGGTAAATCAATTTTTAACGTATTCAATAATTTACAATTTAAACACAAAATTCTACTATTGGTTAACAACAGTGAGGCATGTACCTACTCGTATTTCCAACTTACTTTAGGACTAAAAGGTTTTTGATTCGATTCCGCGTGAGGCAAATATTTTTATTGGCTATAGAGCTTTCTTCATTTATTTAGTAAACTAACTCACATTTTCGTTTTACACCTTCAATATTTCTGGTAATTTAACTAATTTTGTTAATACCTATCATTAAACATACAAAATTGTATTTGTAAAAAATATCTCATTAAATCGACACTTTACTTCATTCTTTGTGTACGATACTATAATACAATATAATGGCTTAACTGTAATATGTAATATCAAAATGTAATGTACCTACTAATAAAAAGTATATTAAAATGGTTTTATAAACGTGACAACGGATTACAAACAAGTCAGTTATTTTTATTTTACTGTGAAAGTGAGCGAGAGTGAAACTATATCGTTGAAAAGTCACCATATTCGGCTGACACCTGCTTAGGGTTCTGCGGCCCCTTAAAAAGACCCCTTTTAACCGACTTCCATAAACGAGGAGGTTCTCAATTCGTCGGAATCTTTTTTTTCGATTTTTTCGTTTTTTCGACTTCGAAAATATCTGATTAGGTATCTATTCTAAATGAAAACCCCCGTTTAGTTAGTTATTTTTTACGTTTTAGTGCCTGGAAGTCGGTTTTTTTTTAAGTTTTGTTAAATATAATTACTTATTTCCTTAACAAAACAATGTTCATAATTACACACTTTTAATAGTTAAAATGAAATCACGCCAGAAAAATGCATACCTACATTTGTTTTGCACAAGTATGATTACGTAACAAGTTCTACGACACTGTAATTTTTATATTTTACTTAAACTCTACTGAACTCTAAATTGTTGAAACAATATTATCTTGACCAATTTAAATTAGTGTTTACAATTTATATATACAATAATAATAGTTTGCAGTTGTATAGTATGTACAGTGGAACAATGTATATTCATAATTTTTATGTTTATGTACATAATATGTGTATTATAATTCTTTTGAATGTACATAAATGTAATTATTATTATTTATGTAGATATTATTCATCTGTTGTGTATATTTGAGATTCATCTTAGTGACTTAACACGCACGCACAAATCAGGGTGGCGATACTGAAGTTCGTGTTCTTTATAATTCCAGAAATTGCATTCATATCTAATATAGTACATGCAACACATTGAGAATTTGACGCATTATGTTAATCCCTAAATAACTTTATAATAAGTGAGATTAAAGTGCGGTATTCATAAGGTTTCCTCACTTAACGTAATGTTATTATATAAATGCGGATGATGCGTACTAATTTCCGCACAAAGTGTGTATTTAAAGACTATATAGCGCCTTAATCGTCTCGTACATCAAATCTGAAGATATTTTTCTTGATTCTTGGGTCTAGAATATCCATAATTGTATTATAAAAATGTCTCTCAATATTGGATGAGGTTTTTCTTTGAAAAACAAGACGATACTGTACTTGAATTTTATAAATATGTAAGAGAAAAATATACAAAACAAATAAACATTAAACATATCCTAAGTTATCTAAGACATACAGGTTATATCTAAGAGAACCTAGCAAGTTTTCGAGAGACATATCAAGCCCACTAACCGCAGTTAGATAGCTTGCTGGACTCTAGCCAGATCCTCTCGCATCGAATGGAGACCCGTGCCCAACAGTGGGACGTTCAAAAAGCATGAATACATAAACATATTGAAAAAATAATAGATTATATTGATCATTTGTGCTATTGAAGAACGCACTAAAGTCAATATTATGTATATGTTATACTTTATTGTTTACATCTTTGCGTACATCATAGTATTATATAAAAAGAAACTTTCTAACAATAACTTAAGGAAGAGATTAAATGCACGTTTGATTAGTCTACGTGTAAGCTACTCTCCATACTCTACGTTTAGACGCGTTGTGAACGAGACGCGTCGATATGGACACGCACACAAACAAGCCATCCTTGGTCTTGCTCTTGACATGCGGTCACTTGCCACGCATAATAATAGATTCAAATGATTCATATAACTATAACTTTACTATGTACTTTGGTGAGTTGAACGCGTGATATGCCTTAGAGCGCTCGCGTATCCGACGAAAATATAACAGGTTAATAAATCAATGGCTTAAAAGTATCAAATCCTATAAGAATGTGGTGCAATGCGTGATTTGTTTGATGATGTGTGTGAGTGAGGGCTCGAGATTCAATGCCGAGGCGTTACAGATTAGGTAAGCCAATAAAATGTTGTTATAACTGGTGATCGGAAACAGTTTCCTTCAATTAAAGTCTAATTACTAACCTCATGATTTAAACAAAGTATTACAACCAATTTTGTCGGTATATTTCGATATGCTAATTCAAAATCTAGCCAAGAGAGTTGCGCGCTAGACACATTTTTAAAGTATGAATAAACGTAGCGTAACAACAAGTCGCTATGTAATAATATAAAAGTAGTAAACGATAAATATTAATATCTAAATCTTATAAATTGCTTTTACTGAACAAGAAATTTCGTTAAGCATTCCGAATTCGTCATAGGCAAAAATCTAATGACATTTTTTATTATCTATCGATACCGATTACAAAAAGTCACTGCCGGTTAATAAAAAAACAAAGGTTATTCTACTGAAGGCAGTCGCATTGTCTGCTTATCTGATCCGAGTCGAGCTGCAGGTCTGCATTCCTTGCATGCCAGTTTATCACGGATTTGTTATTGCTATAAGAAAACCGGTTTTTTATCCTTTTAGTGCCTTAGACGTTATACTTTTGGTTATGGATGTCCGGTGTTATAATAAATAAAAGGTGTCATATATTATTATTATTGTTTGTTATTAGATATATAATATGCTATTTTTGAAGTAAAACGTAAAGTTCTTGGAGGGAAAAAAGTATTAGCGTTGCGATTTTTGTAATGGAAACGGTTGTTATGGAAGTTAATAAATAGGCAATTAAAAATTATTTAAACTAAGTATTATATGTATAATACTTTCTTAGATTTACGCGCATATTTGACATTTTAGAGAGGGAGAGACTCTCCAGTGATCATGATTGCTGTAAAGCGTTTGAAACGTCGGGAACCAAAAATCAAAATAAATTCGCGAAAAAATCCGAAAAGACAGTTTTATTTATTATATGTATATTACAAAGAATAAATTAAATAAAAATAGATATTTATAAAAAATACTTCTTTCATTTATTTTTAAATGAGAGCTGGAATCATATCAAATGAATTCATATGAAACGTATTCAGCGCTTTTATCTAATTAAAAAAATGCTTATTTGAAATATTTTTTTACACATTATAAAAATATTTTTTTTCACTAAAAATGTGCATTCCTGTATGATTTTATTTATAAAGTAAAATGATATTTCTTTTTATTGATATTATCAGAAATATTATTTATCGTGGATTTGGACCCATAAAATCTTTAATTATGACATTTATTTGGCTAATCGTATCGATAGTAAATTATCGCATGTAGGCTATTGACACTTGATAAGAAAAAGATAATTGAATCTATAAATAGATTGTGATCTTGAATATTACCTAATATAAGCGAATTTGGATAATAAATATAAATTCGGCTTACATTTTTTCGTATTCTAGTTCTAACTTGACTTAATACTATCTCAATAATGAGATACTATTAAATCAAGTTAGAACATTTGACATGCTAAACTAAAAATAAAAATACTAAATTACGACAAAACAACTTATAAGTATTAATAATCGGTACTCTACTAAGTTCCATCCGGTGTGAACCTCCTTCCAGCGTGTAGTTTATAATACGGTTAATAATAGCGTGTATCCAAGAAGAGGGCCAAAATATCTTACATATTTTAAAAGATTTATTAATATTGGAAGGATATTATGGATTTTTGATCTATGTTGTATGATGTATTTATTTTTTAATTAAAACAGTTTGTTCTATCATATTGATGAGTCTTTCTTTAAAATAAACGTGTTTTATCTAATTTTTATACTATGAAGCGCTGGTGAAGTTATTTATATTATTAGGAACTACACAAAATATTATCGGTGGTTGTTTTAGACTTATGAGTATTTGTAAATATACATTCTAAAATATAAACATATTTTCACAATAATGGCGAGATTTATGGCGACGATTAAATATTAATTCTTCCTTAAACGACATATACATGAAAAAACTATAATCATATACAAATATAAACATAAATTCTTTATCGCAAAAACTAAGCTATCCATATGATGTGTTGTTGAACTGGCCAAGGCGCGATGTATAATAAATTATTCAAACCGCGCGATTTCTCAACGGATTCCTGAACGCAGCTGCAACTGTCATCACCGTCAACCCTCGTTGGTCGTGTTTGAATTTCGAATGTACCCAACATTGACAAAATATAATTTATTATATCTTTTTTTTTCATTTGAATAGACCGTCAAGTCTTATTTTTACCAAATGAAATTTAGACCCAAATAAAAACTTTTTAACAAAAAAATAAAAACCGACTTCAAACAAAAGCACTAAAAAGTAAAAAATAACTGATCGGTAGTTTTCATTTCCTATACATACCTAATCAAATATTTTCGAAGTCGGTGTGCTTTGGCTAAGTAATTAAAGCCTACCTATTAAATACATACCTAATCAAATATTTTCGAAATCGGTGCCAGCCCATACAAAGTGGTGGTGGTGGTGGTGGAGGTGGTATTTTTTTTTGAAATTTAAATGGGACCAATCTAGAAGTTAACACTTTCAAACAACACAAAAATTGTCCAAATCGGTTAATTAATGACGGAGTTCTGAGGTAACAAACATAAAAAAAAATACAGTCGAATTGAGAACCTCCTCCTTTTTGAAGTCGGTTGAAAAAGTTATCTATCGTTGTTATAGTAATAATATGATTAAAATATCGTTATTCATTAGAAAATACAAGAAAATCATAAAAATAGCAGCAGGAAGTAGTTTTCGTGAATCATTTTAGTATTTGGTTGATATGTGTTACAATAATTATAGAGACCATATTAAGAAATTTTAACATCATCTTTAATTAATTTAAAAAAAAAACTAAAATGTCGGAAAGTGTTTAGCAAGTCACAAATAATCTTCACACCTAAATTTATTATATTTAGATTTTAATGGTTACAGTTCTTTGATGAAACTAAAAGTAATACATGAAGCATCCAATTTTCACACTTCCGCGTTTTTATAAGTACAATGAAGCAAATATGGTAGTAGTTAGTTAAAAATACGGACGTATAGTGATTGGCGTGATATTAAATACTATATTTCTACAGCTTGATGAATAATTATTTATTTAATTATGTCCTCATGTCCAGTTGTACCAACATTCATTTCATTCCTTATAACTCAAAAATATCTATTTATAATATAAATCTTAGTATAGGTAGGAGCTTTAGTATAATACATAATTTAATATCAAACAATATACCTTTTTTTTCAACGTTGAGAAATGCATTTACGCACGAGGTGCGCGACTCACCGGCAAAACCAGTACTACCCACTAAAACCCAACAAAAGCTTCCCCCGTCTTAATGGGGCGTCGTAGGATCGCTTACGCATTCAACTACGACGCCCCGACGGCAGGTCTGCCGAAGCAGACCACAACAACCATGGGGTTGCTCCAAGTTCCGCTCTGCTATCAGAGAAGTACTAGGAGCAACCCGCATGGTACACCGCCCACTGAAGAGAGCCACCTCCCACCGCCCACCGAAGTGGGCCACCGTGTGCGTTTCTTTGCTTCGCGCCCGGCTAGATTACCGGGCACTACTGAGACCCCCACCACGACAAGGTGAACGCACGTTGGGGGGGTCAAACAATATACCTAAGTTAATCCTTAAAAGATTCAAGTGTCAATTAAATTAAGTAATTAGATATATTCTACTTTTCTTCAAGATGAAATTATTAAACCATCTTTGATACATCTGCTATAAACCAGTTTTGTGGATCTTTAATTGACTTTGACGTATACAACTGACGGCATAATGATTTCGTTCGATTGATTGAAGGTCAGTATAATTTATGCAAAGTGCAAACTTCCCGTGATCGAGTCGTGATAGCAGGAATGGCTTAAATTATTTGGCAAACATCAAAGAAAATAATTTCAATTTATCGATTTAAGAATTAAAGCAGCAGTTTAAACCAATTTAAGCAAAATGGATTTAAAACGAAACAAGTGTGTATGTTTTAATGTCCATGCATTTTCTTCAGTCTGTGCACAATTAAAAGCGTGAAGTTAGAATAAATTAATAATTAATTTGTTATGAATAGAAGCGAAATAGATGCAAACGGTAGTCATTGAACTGTTACTTCTTACTGAATACTACTGCAGCTCCATCCACCATGTAATTGAATTTGCGATGAGGCGAGAAATACAAAACTTTCATATCAAGTACGTATACGATATTATTTACATAGTATATAATAGTAAGGTATAAAGTGATAATTCTAATATTATTTTTTATTTAATTATATGACCAAATTATTATTTTTCTCAGTATCGATTTCATGGTACATATCCATAAAGCATAAAATTTATATAGTTTTTTAAACGAAAGTACCTTAAAAATTACAAAGTTATTAGTGTAGGTATGTACGAGTATTATTTAGTGTAATTAAATTTCTTGACTTTCATATGATAATGTAAACGTGTGCTTGATGGTTTTTTTTTGTTTTTTCACACAGCAACAGTATAATCAAATTTTTGCATATTTTTTTTTATGGGAACTAAAGTGCACAAAAAATACTATAACGTACATTAAGAGCTTCTCTTTGGATATAAAAGCTTGCCATCTATACTTAATGTTATAAAGAGGCAAAGTTTGTTAAAACGCGCTAATCTCAGGAACTACTAAGTAATCCGATTTGAAAAATTCTTTTTGTATTAGACAGCCCGTTTATTATAGGCTATATATCATGCTACTATCTACATACATACTATATACATATATATATATATATATATATATATATATATATATATAGAATAGTTGGCAAAGCGAAGCGAAGGTGTGAAACTGTTAGTACGCGTATAATATGTGTATAAGGTTTCTGTAAGACCAATGTCCGAGTGTTGGGTGTCAGGCGACCGCAAGCACGAGGAAGCGCAGTCAAGTGCGCTGAAGTGCACTGAGAGAGATGTATTACACGTCCCTGTTTGTTGTGATCTTGAGATTGCAAGCCTTTCGGAGCTATTAACCTCATTATAATAATACATATGTAAACGA